CAGTTCTAGAGTTCAAATCACCTATAATACAAATATTCCCATCACATGAAAAATTCAGTGCTTCTTCAGTGTTAAAAATATGTAAACGTGTAATCTTACTAGTATTATAAAATGATGATCCTGTAGGTGGAATATAAGCACTACAAATGTAAAGATGTTTATTTAGACCAAAGTAATCTTTGTCTAGCTTAATCCAAATTGATTCTTTATATTTGGTATCAATTCTAGTAATTCCTTTCACGAGTTTTGATTTAAACAAAACTATAATACCTCCAGAGGCTTTTCGAGTATTTCTACTTTTCTTTCTATCACTTCTAAAAAGTAAATAACCATTTGGCACTCTAAAACTATCATCACTGTCTAACCACGTTTCTAACAAACAAACAAATAATATCATGCTGAATAATAAAATTAATCAAAGAACAGTCATTGGAACATGATTTCACTCCGTGAACGTTCCAGGAAGCTATTTTTAGCTGTTGTTTATGTTTGTTCATTTATGTACTATATCCCCATGGTGGATAAGAGTAAGACAGTCAGAGAAGGTATCTATTATTAACTGGTGTCCAAGGCATTGGTGGTTGCAAACCCTGATAATACGTCCACTTTGGTATTGCCATATTGTTAGATCCTGGTGGATATGGTGATACTTGTTGGCTGTTGTTTTGGATTTTGTCATCCGTAGTGGTCTGCATATTTTCACTTATCACATTGTTGATACTTGAAACTGTTGTTGTGTCTTGTGATGATTAATTATTGTGTTGAACTTTAACATTGTCTATTTTACTCTTCATATTTTTGGATTTAGTGGTTTTTTGATGTCTTTGATATTGTGATAATTGTCTTGGGTGGTAATCTGGTCTACTGTTGTAGTTGGTTTGTTCAGTGTTGTCACCAGAATAGTGACCATATTTGCTTGATATAACATTGATGAGGCTAGATGCCAGAATTTTAAATTAAGGCGGATGCAATCTTGATGGTAGAATTTCTTTGTTTTGTATAATTTCCTGTGATTCACAAATCTAATGTGTTCTTCATTTTCTACTCTTGACTTGATTTCCACGTTAACTTTCTTAATCTGTTCATTTAATTCTGCATTGTCTCTAGGAAGAATACCAGAAATAATGATTGTACCTGCTTCATGTCTTTGGGATTCTGTATATTGTATTAGTTGCATAATCTCTTCAACAACTTTATGATCCTCTTTATTATTTGCAATGTCATTGCTTCAAACGGGGTAGATAACCTTATTGAAAGTCTTAAGTGGATTGTTTTTAACATATTGCAATGCATCACTTACAGTTGTTGCTCTTACTTTGGCGACTTCCTGTTTACTCATATTCTATGGTTCAATGTGTTTTATTAGTGAGTCGCCCACCACCTTTTTTGTACTGTTGAGTGGATGGCAATTTGTTGAACCTAATTGAAGTTGTATCTGCCTTCTTCACATGTTTATTGCCTTGTCTGTTGTTTACTTCATTGTTGTTGGGTCACTGAGGAGAGTGTTGTTAACAGTTTTTGCCCCAGTTACCATTTCTTTGTTCTGGTTGTCTTCCTTTTTGTTTGATGTTATTTTAGTTGACATTTTACTGGGAACATCCTTGAATCCCGTTTCCATTCCTTCAACAGTTGTTTTCATTGCATTGTACCTCCCCCAGAACTGTTAGCTTATTGTACAGTAAATCATTTGTTGATTTAAGTTCTTCATTTTCTTGTATCAATTTAGTGTTAATGCAAATTACATCTTGCAATCTGTTTTCATTATCCACTGCAACTTTCATATACTTTTCAGTA